GACCCAAACCCCGCCTTATGCCTCTACCCCTTGAAACCCACTCTCCCAATTTCCCATTCACCTTGCACACGTACACCTACCCTATTATACAAAGTCTCAATTCAACGCACCATCTCTTCCCAAAACCCTGCCTCCGTAAGATTATGCCACAGTGCCTCTCGTTCTATGCAATATACGCAGCCTGCCAATCCAATGCTAAGACACCTCCCCCCCTTTATTCTCCCCCTCCATACTTTCCACAAAATCTTTTATTATTCCATGTCCCTCATAATCGTCCTCCCAGGCACCCCATACTGACCTCTCGCAACAACTCTTTTCACGCACTTCAGCCTGTTCCCAAAATTTTTGCGAATATCTTTTAATCAGCACATAACAACGACAATGCCCTGTAGTTCTGCACTGTAGTAGGGCCTTCCCCTTTTGGAATCAATACTACTACTGCAGTAAAGCTGCAAAATCACCCATCCTCCCCTCACTTTTCATCACATTTCATCAGGTTCACTAAAAAATCCTTCAACCCACTCCAATGCTTCACATAGAATTTTACAAGGGAACCCATCTATACCTGGCGCTTTACCTCTCGCCCTATCTCCAAAGCTCTCCATACCTCCCCCTCTTCAATATCCCCCTCCAATGCCATACGATCACTTCCACTCAGCACACAAAAATACATTCTCTTCCAATCTCTCTAAATCCTCACCGTTCACTCCTACACTCCGCAATATTTTCCAAACCAACTATCCATAAAACCACTCATACCCTCAGTATTTTGCAACTCCTGACCCTTCGTATACCCACCTAAGTTCTCGTGTACTTTCCAGCTTATCAATCTCCATTGCCAAACCCGCGTCTCCCCTGGCCCCGTAACACACAGGCCGACGGCCTGTCACCCCAAATCGCCTCCTCTAACCCACCTTTCACCCTCGCCTCACAAACTCTCATTGTGCATATCTCTTATCTGCCACTTTAACGCTTCAATTTCCTCCATTGGATGCACACCTTCCACAGCCAAACCCCTCTCATAACAACCCTGCAACTGGCCCTCTAAATACTGTTGAAGCCCAATGTCATCCATGCCTCATTCTTTCCCCTTCCCACATAATATTGTCTGATCCTCCTCTTTGCAACCCCATCCCACCACCCAATAAATCGCTTGCACCTCTTACCCCACCCCATAAGTCCTCCCACAAACTTTCAAAATCCCCTCCCTCCACCCCCTCCCCCCAGTAGCGTACATTCAGCTTCCAGTACCCCAAATATCTCTTAGGCAAACCGTCCCCAATTTAAATCAACATAAACCGCCCTATGATCTGAATAAACGACATTCACCGTCTGCACCCGCGTCACCCTCACTCCCCTTGTCACATACAACCTATCTAAAACGTGCAGCATATCCTTTCTATGAAATGTGTGCTCTACCCGCAATCCCTCCATCAACTATATCCCTCAATCCCACACCTCTCAATAGATTCCCCTAAACCTGCAAAAAACACCCTGCCCCTCTCGGTTTCCACATCCTTCCCGCGCACCACACAGTTCCAGTCACCCCCAACTATTGTCACTGACGGTAAAGACCGCAAATAATATACCAATACGTTATTCACAAATTTATTCTTTACCCTTACATCATTCTCAGCCGGCACATACACACAAACTACTGCATCCTCCACCTCTCCACCACCCATCTATTCTTAACACACGACTCCTTCCCCCTTCATCCTAAGAACAACAAACGGGCTCGTCTCTCGGATCAGGATTCCCACCCCTCCCTTCATTTTGCTCCGAATACATCATAAACACCTGTACCCATCCACCTCCAATTCCTTTCCCAGCTTGAAATTATGTTCCTGCACAAAAACAATGTCTATAGCATAACTCTTAAAAATCCCTTTACCACAGACGCTTCTCACTCGCACACAATCCATTAATATTCACTTTCATGCACCGGGAAAACCCACTTATGTGATTTCACCCTCTGCCCATTTCACCTTTCACTGACACGCTTCCAGTGTGTCTGCTTCTTCCACTTTTTTCTCCACTGCCCACTTGTTTGGGTTCCCCTGATCCAACACTGGACCAGGCGTACCTTTAGAGCTCCCACGCACCACATCAAAACCCCCAGCTTTTTCCCTGGTTCTCTGTGCCGGGGTCAAAAATCATTTCCCAGTTGGAATATGTCGCCGCCCTCTTACGGTTGACACTCTCTGCATCCATTTCCAACTCACTGGATGCCTCCCTGTGAATCTCAGCATTCACCTCATCACTTCCACCCCTCCTGGCGAAAACATCTGCCATGTTCGCCAATCTTTCCAAGTTGCTCATCTTCAAACTGAACAGTACTCCTCACCATTCTCAAGTTATCCTCAGAAACCTTCTTCTCAAAGGATTTTTCCTTCACGTTCACCAGTAGGCCTCCCTCTACCTGCACATCACCAATTGCACAGTCTTCCCGTTCTCCAAGCAGATGCCTCACATCCCACTAAATGTGACAGTGATGGGTGGTACCCACCAGTGGCAGCTCACACTTTCCCCTTCCCACTCCAGGAAGTGCCACTTCTTTGTACAGGTGACTCATCAGATGGCCCACCTCCGGTTCCGGCTCTTTTCACCATCTCACTTTCCTAGTTCCTGTCTCTTTCTGCCATCTCCATACTGGGCCGCCATATGGTCATATGCAAACCCCATAACCTTACACGTCTTCTGCTGCCCAGCGTAGTACACCATTACCTGCGTCCTAAATGCGTCCAGTATGACATAAGATGGGATGGAATGCCTCAACGTCATCTTGAGCGTGAACGTACCATTCGGCAAGCCGGCATACGCCCCATCCGTCCATTTACCAGCCATAGCCAGGTGTACAGGTCCATACTGTTCAAATACATTCCGCAGATCAGGCTCGTCCGCCTCAAATGGCACATTTCGGAGTTTCACCCATGTGTAATGCCTAGACACGTTGATGAGTCGACACGAACACGTATCGCTGAATTAACGTCCACCCTCCTGTCCTGGTACTTGTCAACCAGCCGTTCATACACTCCAGCTGATCTCAACTTGACGAAAATACGATAGGCACCATTTAGGCACACACCATACAGTTCTTGATCCGCAGCACCATAGGTGTCACGGATAATTTGCGGTAAAAGCACTTGTGCAGACTGAGGCGTTATTGCACCACGCACCAATTCAAGGCACACCGTGTGCACACGCCTTCTCACAGACTGCGCCATGTTGTGAAAATATAAGTCTCCTCCAATGGCCAGCAGAGGGCAGTAGTCACACGTCCGCACTCTGCTCAGGTCAAGCGGCGAATAACTACTACCACCGCTAAAACATCTACTACTACTATTACTACTACTTATACTATTATTAGTACTACTATTACTTCTACCACCACCACTACAACTACTACTACAACTATCACTACTTTTCTCGTCCCAATTGTGGGTCGAAACATTGTCATAATGTTTCTCTCCTGAGTGCGGGTTTCTGATGGACTTTCAACCACGGTATTGTGACATTCATTCCTTATTAATTATAGGCAGACATCCAGTTTAAATGTCTTACAATCACATGCTGTGCGGAAAGACTACCGCCTCATCCTCCTATCACCAGTTACTGCTTCCCGTTCTCAAAACACTGTATGATTCCTATGGGTTTAGAGCTTCCCATTATTATAATTATGGGGGAGCGCTAAACCTGTAGGATAATACAGTGCATGTAGGGGGGAATGGAAAATATTCAGGTTCAATTCAGGGAACCGGAGCATAGATTCAATTCCCTGATCATGAGCCCCTCACCAGCGTCAAGGAACCTCCCTTGAGAGGTAGAGCTTCCCAGAGAATATAATGATATTCTGGCAGGTGGTGGCGGCAGCCGAGTGAGACGTGGCGGCGGCGGCGGCAGACAGGTGATGGCGGCAGCGGCGGCGGTGGTGGTGGTGGTGGTGGTGTGTGGTGGTCACTGGTCGTGTCTGAACCACGCTCAACCTATACCAGGTAATGATCACCTCCTCTTCCTCCTTCCTGAGCGAGACACAGCCTGTGTTAGTACATTGTTTGCAAGACATGATATGCTAGGATTATTTAAAACCAATATGTTGAGTGTTACTTTATCTGTTGAGAGTGTTGCTGTATATGTTGAGAGTGTTGCTGTATATGTTGAGTGTTAATGTGTCTTTTGAGAGTGTGTTGCTGTATCTGTTGGGAGTGTTACTGTATCTGTTGAGTGTTAATGTAACTGTTGAGAGTGTTGCTGTATCTGTTGAGAGTGTTTCTGTATCTGTTGGGAGTGTTACTGTATCTGTTGAGTGTTAATGTATCTGTTGAGAGTGTTGCTGTATCTGTTGAGTGTTACTGTATCTGTTGAGTGCTAATGTATCTGTTGAGAGTGTTGCTGTATCTGTTGAGTGTTATTGTGTCTGTGAGAGTGTTACTGTATCTGTTGAGTGTTGCTTTATCTGTTGAGTGTTACTGTATCTGTTGAGTGTTACTGTAATTTTTAAGAGTGTTATGTATCTGTTGAGAGTGTTATTGTGTTTTTAAGAGTGTTATGTATCTGTTGACAGTATATTCGTGACTTACGGTGAGCAGGTTACATGCAGCCTTAACAGCCCCCTCCTGTAGTTGATAGACTGTAAACTCTATTAACCAACCAACCTTAATCCCAATTTTAGAGATTATTCTTGCTGACGTTGAAAAGGATGCATGTAGCCTCATGTACTTGCTAGGCTTTGAACCCATGAACCAAATAGTATTTCACCCACCGCCAACAGCAGGGGTATGTGGATCCAATATCAATAAGTAAGTAAGTTTATTCATGTATACACAAATACAGTTACATAGAATTATCATACATAGCAGCATATGTGTAGAGAACATATGCTGCTATGTATGATAATTCTATGCAACTGTATTTGTGTATACCTGAATAAACTTACTTATCAGTGGCCGAATATCTGCACTATGACCTCACAGATTGCATATAGTTGCAGAAGTGATCGATTTGCCATCATGAACGTGACAGTGACAGATGTATGGAGCCCCAGAGCAGACAAGTCGAGCGATGGCAGGGTCAACTGGTCACAGGTGTTGCTCGCCCCACAAGTCGACTATTCCAGGAAAGCCAGGAAATTATGGCCTCTAGATCCACAGTGTTCTTGGTAAACTCTCCCTCTATGTTGACCTTTGTGTTACATAGGATATGTACACCGAGAGGTATTTCTCAGCGTTCATATGCTGAGAGTTTACTTTAAATCCATATTTTTGGGATTAAAGTATTCTTGTCTAGTGGTGAAAAGGTTACGTGTACCCACAATGACTAGTTATATGTAGGATTTGAGACCCACTGACCAACGAACCAACCTGTGCTTGTTTTGTCTGTCATTACAAGGGGGTAAATCACGGCATAACCTGACGAGCAGTGAGAAAGACACCAATGTTTGCAGTGAAACCTTTATTTCTGTTTTATCCACCACTTTAAAGAAACGTCTTAATGAAAGTTTCACTGTATGTACGCCTGCAGTGTCTTTTTCACTGAGTTTTTCCATATTGCCTTAGTTCCTAATTTTCCCGCTTGTTCTTATTTCACAACATTATTTTGTATATTTGTAAATAAAGTATCTTGGTATGTTTAGTTTATCGTCCTTTTAGTATCTACACACGCACACGGGGCCAGGAGCTGCGACTCGACTATTTCAACCACAAGTAGGTGAGTACACGCGCGCACACGCGCGAGGGATGGGACTATAGAAGAGTCAGATTTTCGTTATATTCATGTGGAAGAGCTAAACCCGTAGGGATCATACAGTGCCTGAAGAATGGGACGCAATCGAGTGTGATCTTATTAAAGGACAAGGTGTTCCAATTCATTGGATCAAGAGACTTTCACTAGCGCCAAAGCACCGGCGCCACTTGAAAGCTCGAATGAAACCGAAATGCAGGAATTATTATTGTGTTACTTTTATAAATGAATGTTTAGGTCATATTTCATCCGCTTTCGTCATGCATCGGTTACATTATTAAGGAACTTAGCATCAATTAGCGGAGGGTGGAACGAGCCACTGCCATTCATTGCCACTGAATGATCCACACGGGTTTAGCACTTCACTTACACATACTACTAATAATCAAGGAACAGTCAAGCACTATGTACCTTGATAGACAATGAGTGCTTAGTAAGGATAAACTAGGTTAGGATACCTATGGATTCTGGCCAATAGTTATTGTTAGACTAGGTTAGGTTATCTTAGGTATAGATGCCGAGTTAAGGTTCGTTTGGTGTATCCTTTTTTTTTTTTTTAATTTTCACTTTTGCCAGTGTTATCTGTTTTTTTTTTTTCACCTAAGACCACATACACACACAAATGTAGCCAAATCAATAATTTTACAGGTCAGGACGTAAATAAATTACGCAACATGAAAGTCACTAGTGACAATTGTCCTCAAACAAATTGACATCTTAAAACCAAATAAGTCACCAGGCCCTGGCGAACTGCTTTCAAGGATTATAAAGGGATGTAAGCAGGAACTTAATAAAATATTAGCTAGGCTCTTCAGCAAATCGCTACAAACGGTATCCTGCCAGTAGGCGAAAAATGGCAGGATACTCATTCACAAATCTAGAGATAGGTCGTTAGCTTCAAACAATAGACCACCCTGCCTAACTTCAATTGTAGGAAAGATGATGGAATCATTAACCATAGGCGAAATTCAAAGCCACCTCGAAAAAATATAAACTATTCAGTGAATCTCAGCACGGGTTTTACGAAGGGGCGTTCATGCCTTACAAATTTAGTAACTTTTTACTAAGATATTTGAAGTGGTAGACCAAAATAAAAGAAAATATATGATATAGTGTATATGGATTTCAGTAAGACCTCTGATAGAGTATCACACAGAAGACTGCTGAAGAAGTAGCAATTAGAATGATAACAAATTCTCACTACAGGCAGCACACTCCACCAATATTCAATACACTAAACCTACTCACCATACAAAACATCCATACTTATTACTGCACCTATTACATACATAGATATTAACCCTCCCCTCAAACATCTCCTTGCCAACCTCAACAGAACACATGACCATAACACAAGGCACAGATCACTCTTTGATGTTCCTCGTGTCCATCTCACACTATGCAAAAACTCAATGCACATAAAAGGCCCTAAAATCTGGAATTCATTACCTGTAAATATAAAAGAAACACAACCTGTTTATAAATTCAAGTCTCTTCTCAAAGATTACTTACTCACCCAAAACCAAATAAATACTGAATAACTGAACATTATAAATTGTATATCTTAAATGTTTCTCACAATTATATCACATAAATGTTAAACCTAAAACCCAATCTAACTTTATTATTTTTTAAATACACTACCAAACAGAATCACTACCTAACTGAATGCAACCATATGACCTGTCTTTGTAATACTCACTTGTGCTTTATAGTTATCTGTTTACATTAATGTTTTATCACTGATTTCATCATTGCTTAGTAGCAGCGCTGTATAGTCCTTGTGGCTTAGCGCTTCTTTTTGATTATAATAATAATAATAATCATTGCTTAGTTAATCTTAAGTTAATTTTAAGCCAGCCCGTAATGCTATGCATAGTATAAGTGGCTTTGGCATACTGCTCTTATCTGTATTTTTTTGTACCTCTGTATGTGTGCACAAATTGGAAATAAATAAATAAAATAAATAAATAAATAAACACGAAACAAGTAAAGAAATTCTCTCTTGGATCGAAGCATAGTTGACCGATCGACAACAGTGTGCAAAAATGAGAACTCAGGGTGGAGACCCGTTATCTGTGGTGTTCCACAGAGGTCAGTATTAGGCTCTTCATTGTTTACATTATACGTAAATAGCTTAAATGAGGGAATAAATAGCAGTAAAACCAAGTTTACCGATAACTCTAAAATAGGTCATCAAACAAATTTTGATGAGGACACAAAAAACTACAGATAGACTTAGATAGGTTGATGCCGTGGTCAGAGAACCGGCAGATGCAGTTTAATGTAGACAAATGTAAGGTTCTATTCCTGGGAAAAGAAAATAACTGTGGCACCTATAAACTACATGTAGATCTCATTCAAAATGAAAGCGAAAAAGATTTAAGAATTCTGGTTAGCAGTAATTTAGAGCCATTATTGTGTTCTTGTGATCATGGAAAAAAATTAAATATGCTAATCCCATTTTAACTCCCGTTTTTTTTTTATTTCATTTAATCCTCCTCTTGCATGTTGGCATCATCCGTGTTCTAATGCTGGTCTCCTTGATCCTGCGTGCTCTCCTGGTATGTGCGGCCTTGCCTCTGTGTTCTCCTGACCTCACCTACGTGTTCTCCTGACCTCATCTGAGTTCTAACCTCACCTACGTGTTCAACTGGCTTCGCCTCCGTATTCTATTGACCTAACCTACGTGCTCTCCTGACCTTACCTACGTGTTCTCCTGACCTCACCTACATGTTCAACTGGCTTCGCCTACGTGTTGTATTGGCACCCTGCCTTCTGTTGACCTCCGCGGTTGTTATCCTCACTTTCGTCGTGCTCTTCCTGTTTCCATAATGAAATTGCTCTGGCCGTGATGTCATCTCTGTTCTAAATCTCCGTATCAATTGAGTGCATCTTCCCGGCTCCTCCTGACATAAATACCGACGTTCTTCCTGGCCTGCTGGTTGTATATCCTTCGTATCTCCGATTTCGGTCATTGCCACTTTTCGATTTCTGGTGACCTCGATACTTCTGGGAACCTGGTGACCTGTGATTTGAGGACTCTGGCGGCTACCTTGGAAATCATGGCGCCCTGGGGACTTGTGGTTCTCTTTCGAGAGACAGGGTGGAGGTTCGGTTCGGGCTTAGACTGAAGAAGACCTGGCTGTTGTCCTTCCCTCGCTCGGGAAACTCGTGGACTCGCTACCTGCTGGAGGCTGCTACAGGGTTCTTCACCTCCTCCATTTATAATTCTACACACCTCAAGTACTTAGGTGAGTGAGCAGGGAAGGTAGGGAAGGGTGAGAAAGAGTAGAGGGAGGGGAGGAGTAGACGTGTAAATAAAAAAGTAGAAGTATGACAAATAAGTAACATTCAAGAAAAGATCCCTGTAGTAAAGAAAAAAAAGAGTGGGAGTGGATAAGAGAGGATAGGATTGGAAGGAAAAATGAGACGAGAGCAGTGTTCTCCATCAGGTTACCTGGGTGAGGCAGAGCCGCCCTTGAGAGGAACAACACTGGTCATCAAGACTCACTCGGTTGGTCCTCTCGCCCACTTCCCTCAGTTTCCCGTCATCGCCCTCGTCAGGAGCCCCGCCAGGTGAATCTAAATCTCCACCGGATCTATCTGAAATCTGTTCACCTGTATAACATATAAGGGTTTACCGCTTTTCGAATATAATAGTAATAATGAAGTGTGTTCACTAGAGTCACTCGTATCTACATTTCCCCATTATACTCCTCACCGTAAATTGTTACTTTACCTCACATACTTTCTTAATCCTAAATACCATAACACACGTTCATTTCTACCACCTATTTAAAACCTGAATACCTCCCATTCCTCAAGCTTTCTATAACCACCATGGGTTTAATTCTTCCCCATGAGTATAATAATAGCCTCACATTATCAAAGAACAGTAAAAATAATAAGACAATGAGGTCACATGTGACTTCATATGTTAGGCCAACTTTAAAGACCTTCTGTTGTCTTATTATTTTTACTGTTCCTTGATAATTTGAAAAATCACGAAAACATTTCGAATATTACTACCCACCTGTTTCCTGTGATCTTATTGCATATAGTATATATACATACATACACGCGTACATAGAAAATTACAACTTTCAGGATATACAATACGTGAAATTCAAACGCTATTTTTCTAGTTCTGAAGTATTTCTTAAATTACATTAAATAAAGCTCCTCTACTGCCATTCACCAGAGCCATCATCTCCTACTGGAACTACATGAGCGTGGAGGAAGCGTGGAGAAGGTTCAAGGGCTCCGTCAGCAGGTCCTCCTACAGGACTGCAGGTAATCATTGCGTTCTCCCATCTTTATTTGCTTCAGCTTGAGTGTGGATCATTTTTTATTTGCTCTCCCACATACTCCATCTCTCTCTTGTTCCATGCTCTCGAGTCATTTATGTTAATTCATCTATGGAGTCTTCTAAAACTTTTATAATTTTAGTTATTGGGTATAATAATTAACGCATCAGTGCGATATTTCAAAATTATTATTGAGCAATTATTATTTCAAAATTACGAGGTAAAATATGTGATTAAAAATTTCTGCTTTTCCATTATATATTGTTTATATTTTTATGTTCATTGAGAAGCGCTAAACATGTACGGCCCATGGAGTGCATTAGAGTACAGATGAGCAACTTATTTCCAGCCTTTCATAAATTCGTCCGTGAAAAGCTGGAGAACTGGAAGTCCATTTATGTGACGGTCCTAAGGAACACCAGCCGCCTCCATCTGGTGTATTACGAACACCTGCGTGAGGATCCCTTGAAGGAGCTAAGAGCTATCCTGGCCTTCCTGGGAGTGAGGACCTCAGAGGCTCGTCTGGCCTGTCTGGCCAGGCACCTCGACGGAGTAGCCAAGGGCGGCCAGCGGGAGGTCTACCCGTATACTGCCTGGGAGAGGGCTATGTTCCAGCGTGCCTTGGCTCAGCTCGATGTCCTCTTCAGACTTCGAGGCTTTCCTCCACTCCCTGATTACCGTCGTTACAAGAGCTGATGTCTCATGTGATGACGGGATAGGGTCGCGGCTGAAATCTGTCTTCGCGGGATCCAATAAGAAATAATTAAAGATTAACTTCCATTAGTATATACCTCTTTCTGTTAATATAAAACAACACTTAATATTGCCGGCAAACATTTTGTAATTATAAAAATAAATAATTGTATATAGTTTTATTCTATCACTATTAATTTATCCCTACGTCGCAATATCGCTTTTTCATAATTAAAACAAAATCGAACGTCGTAGAAAAACGTAAATTTGATCTATTTTAGTATGTTTTTACTTCCGCTGACAAAGTTCCTCCAGTGAAAGTGCAAAGAGACAAGGCGGAGCTCCTGCTGTAACATCAGCTACCTGCGTGGGTGACTGTCTCTTGGGGCAGGCAAACCACAGTATTGTAGTAGACAATAAAAGCCTTATGTGACTGTAGAGAAACGGGTTGAGGCAAATCTACCTTATGCACAAGTCGTGTGATGAGTTAAATTACTAATTTTAGTGCCTTTGCCTGTAACAGTTTTAAATCTCTAATTAATTATGAGTTGTGTCTTTTACACCTGTGTTCAGAAACAATCTATAGTACTACTGACCAGTCAGGCTGTTAGTTATAACTTAAGATAAGATCAGCTACTTATGAATGATCTTGGAGTGGGTGTAGGTGGGTGTGAGTTGAACCTGATTAGCTTGTGCTACTAGGTCAGTTGCCGTGTTCCTTCCTTAAGTGAATGTGACCTGACCTGACTAGGTTGGGTGCATTGACTTAAGCCGGTAGGAGATTTGGACCTGCCTCGCATGGGCCAATAGGTCTGCTGCAGTGTTCCTTCTTTCTCATATTCTTATGTAATAGTCTCCTGGGCTCGCCTTTTGTGACCACACAAATAGCTGCATAAAAGCTTCAGGTACATTCTAGTGCAGCAGTTTTAATAGTGCCACCTGAGCGGTTATAACGTTTCCTGTGCACCCCGTGCTCATCCTATGAACTGTGGAAAATTGCATTTATCTGTACGTAACTCATAATGTACATAACAGTAAATAACAAAGATAATATATTATTTATCAGTTAGACAAGTAGGAATTTGGGACACCTAGGTCGCAAAAAATGTCCCCCTTCGATACCTAACACTGTCATATCCACAAGTTGCTCTGGACCTATTAATTATAAATGAAATATACATACACCAGGAATTCTAGTAAATTTACAAATTTGTGGACTATATTAAAATTAAAAAATGATTATATATAAACACATTTACATAACAGAAGGAAAATATCTTAATATCACTCACCAGTTTGACTGGAGATTAATGTGTCATATACAGGACCCCCCCCTTTTGCCTACATTTATGAAAAATTTACTGGCCAGAATTTAAACATAAATTAGACAGCTTATCTGATGCTCCTGGAGTTGTCCTGTCCTGTCGCCTGCTATCTCAAGTTATGCAGGAATGCACATCCAACAATTTTGCCTCCTATTTGAGAGGTGTCAACCCAATTTTAACCTCTAGAGCACGAAAATTCTTCACATTATTAATTAATGTCTTTCAATTCAACAACAATGGCGAGTGTCCTTCTGCACAGGCGCAGCTTCCCATTTTCGATAACATAAATTTTATTAAATACAGTATGGTCATCTATTTACATATAACTACTGTATTTCTGGAAAATATATACAGTATTTTCCACACTGCGGCCGGGCGGAGTTCGTTGCTAAACGACTCAAATTGCTCATTTGGCAATGGTGGAGGACCTGGATACATATAGGATCTGGCATCCACACGGTGACATATTACACAAGATTTAATCACACTTTTTACACTTGCCGTCCTTGTGAATACTGAAAGTTTCCTAATACAATTAAGGTAACTTGTACCCACCAGCATTACATTTTTATGGGCATTTAAACAATCAATTTGTTAGATGACGATTTGGGCAGTAAGATAGGTGTTTAGCATAATCACCCAATTCAGCATTTTGTAACCTACCTCTGCACCTAATTACATTGTTCTCTAAATACAGCCCCAATTTCTCTATTATGGAACCTTCACAATTTTTCTTTCCATCATCAATTTAATCTCATTTCCATAGATTTCCTCCCGTACCCTCTTTATCCAATATTCAAGAGGATGTGAAAACTTAAATGAAATATTCACTTGTTTAGAAATTTAAGCACCAACTTAGTTACATTGATTAGTTTTGGTAAGAAGAATACTTTATTTATATCAATGGCTAAGGGAGGACAAACTATTGGAGCGGTGGTCACAGTAATTTCAACAGAGCAATATACTCCTTTTTGTACAGGCCAATTAGCTTTATATTACCAACCAGCTCGGTCTTTAAACCATGATACAGCATTTACAAATTTAGCATAAGGTAAACCTCGAGACAAAAATCAGCTGGATTCTTCTCACCAGGTATAAGATTAAATGTTAACATATGCTGACCCAAACTATATACTTCTACTTGCATCTGATTAATTTCAGCAACTCTGTTTTGTACGTACACAATTTTACTGTATTCCATTACGAATCCATTGTAAGGATACTCATTATCAAGACCAAATTACAGTGTCCACTAATATTTATCTCCTGCAACTTATTCTTATATAATAGCTAATTTGACACCTACATAAATGACTGTTAATTCCAACTGAGGTAAGGTACGTGATTTAATTGGAGACACTTTAGCCTTAGACATAACAAAGAAATAACACTATTACATGGAAGGTAAGCAACTGCTCCATATGCCAATTTGAAGCATCACAAAAAATGTGGAGTACATTTTTTCCATTTGGATTGGCCACCTGGCATGGGAACTCCAACATTGGAATTTTCTCATAATCACCAATTAATTAATCCCACCTGTTAATGAATTTCCCAGTAGAATTTCATCCCAAGCACATTTAAGTTTCCCATGCTTCCTGAATTAATAATTTCCCCTTATAGTAAGGGGTGACACTAAACCTAGTGGATCAAAACATTTGGAAACTTCAGCACACAAGACTCTCTTAGTTAATTTATTGGCATACTGTAATTATTAGGTTTAACCATTAACAAATCTCTCTCAGTATCCCAAGTTATTCCCAATACATTACTACATTTGACACTTCATCTCCAGGGTAATCTTTACTTATGTTGTCCTTTAATTTGGACGAATTGCTATTCCATTCCCTCAGAGGCATATTTGCACTTTGCATTATTTTATTAGCCTCTCCATAAGTCATTAACAGTTCCTCTTCAGTTGACGTCACACCCAGGAAATTGTCCACATAAAATTGTTTGCTCATTACTTTACTCAATGGACTTTCCATACGTTTTAGGTGTGCATTTATCGTCGCTTGAAGTAGGAACGGACTGGATGTAGCACCAAATAATACGCTCCTAAAGCGAAAGGTTTTCAGAGGGCTAAGTGGGTCAATAGGATTCTCAGGCCGTAAGAAGCGGTACAATCCCGGTCCAGCCTCTTGTAAACCCACTCTTAGTAAAGCTTTACTTATGTCAGCCGTAAAGGCATAAGGCTTCACTCTGAAATTTAATAAGATATCTCCTAAGTTTTTCCGTCAACGATGGACCTGTCATCAAACAGTCATTTAAACTAGGTACATTTTTGTTACTCCTGGCACTACAATTAAAACACAATCCTCAAAGGAGTGGTCTTAGAATCTTTATTCACTCCGTGATGTGGCAAATAGTGATCATAAAATTTTGGCTTTCTCATGAGGTTACCTCTTCTATAAATTTTATTAATTAACTGCTCAGCAATTATATCATTATAGGCAGTTAACAATTCTGGTGTCTTACTCAGTTCGCGGAGCTGAGCCTTTAATTGTCCATATGCCATTCTGTAATTAGTGGGCAATTCTGATGGTTCAGTCCCACGGAAGTCGTACCCAGTATTGTCCAGATTCAAATTTTACATCTTTCAGGATTGCTCCTGAGTAAAAGAATCATCTGGACTTTCTTCATTTACATTTATTCCAATGCTGTCTAATTCCCACAATTTATGCACTGGCTCAACACCATCCTCTATGGAAGAATTATACTGGGGTACGATTTCATGAGTAAGACACACAGTTATGGTATTTGTAGTTTCCTCTAGTCTTGTATTATTATTACGAGGAATCCTACCATACATTACATGTCCTCCTGCAGTCTTCAAAAGGGTTACAGAACATTTCTTTACCATACCCTTTACAAAGGAGGCATAATAGTCACTACCTATCAAAATATTTATTGGGCCTACAGAATCATCACTTATACCAGAAGGTGCTAAATTTACATTATGTGAAAGTCTTTCTGTAGCTTTACTAAGTCCTACTGTAGTTATTTTCTCTGGAAGTCTATCTACAATTACTGCATTAACACGTTTTTTCTCATTGCCCAACCTGACAGTTACATAAACAGTGTCATACAATTGAGACCTTTTATCCGAGAGAAAACCAGATAATTTTAAAATTGTGGGATCTCCCATCTGTACTTTCATACCATCAGACATTTACGTTTATGAAAGTATGCTGGGATCCCTGTCCAATAATGCATTTACATTTTTTTGATTTATGCCTCTTATCATCAATTTTTACCTGTAACACAGGTAAGGCTACTTCAGCAAAACCATCATTATTAACATTAGCAGCAATTTATTACATTACTACTGTTGTTGTCAGGATTGTCAACATTATCATTATTATCAACATTATCATATAGACCTTTACACATGACTATATGGTGTCTTCCTTTGTGACATTGGTAACAGTTGTTTAATTTGGCATGACAGTCTTTTACATTGTGATTACCTAAACACCTGATGCATCTGTCAAGTTCCTCCAATCTTTCAACTTTATCATTCCATGAATTGTATGCATTGCAATTCTTAGAAAAAATGAGTACCCTTGCAGAAGAGACAATCTCTCTTTTCTTTGACTGGTTTCTTATTAACTGGGCTACTCTTAGGAGGGTACTTATTCTTCTTACCTTGTGGAGAATCATTATTTCTGATTCCTGATACTTGATATGCACCTATGCAACTCTTTTTAGGAAATGAATTTTGATTATTAACACTGGGATAATTTCTCCCTTTGTGAAACTTGACAGATACCTCAGAGTTATTATGTGCTGCATCTTTAAAATGAGTTAGTTGGCTGGTCTGCAACTGCACAATTAATTCTTGTAGACCT